TATGAAAAACCTTGACCACTAAACCTGACTACGTACATTAATAAACACTTTAAGAAACATATGAAAAACCTTGACCACTAAACCTGACTACGTACATTAATAAACACTTTAAGAAACATATGAAAAACCTTGACCACTAAACCTGACTACGTACATTAATAAACACTTTAAGAAACATATGAAAAACCTTGACCACTAAACCTGACTACGTACATTAATAAACACTTTAAGAAACATATGAAAAACCTTGACCACTAAAACCTGACTACGTACATTAATAAACACTTTAAGAAACATATGAAAAACCTTTACCACTAAAACCTGACTACGTACATTCAGGGAAACCTTGACAAACCTATTATTTTGACTCGGTCAAATTGCACACGTATATCTTTTACAATTACATTCAATATTTAATCAAACAAGTTTATTATCAACTTATGTTAATAAACCTGGCACGAAAATACAGTGTACAAAATCGAACATTTATATTATCTACGTTTCAATTTCTTATTTCAAAGGGAAATATTTAAATAAATTCTCAACGTTCACTTCTCTGTGTCACGTGACACACCTTCCCTTTCAATTCCCCTTTTTTAGATTTTTCTCTACACCTATTTTTCGGTTTCAGAGAGTCCAACCAATCAGAAAAAGTATCTATAGATATTGACAGGCGAGAACATAAAATCAGGAAGCCCTTCAATCTCTTCAAGCCACTACTCCTACTCATTATCTATCTGATCATTGTCTATTTTTGGTCACCAAAGCCGACCGTTCACTGCGTCGAGAAGTAACAGTATTTTTGTGAAGCCAACTTATACGTTAATTAGTTAAGTTTGGGGAAATTGTATTATAATGTGAGATATATTTCTTGTTTTCTAAAATGAACTAAACAATAAAACCATACAATTATAGAAAACAGGTGCGAAAAGAGTGAAAGTGTTAAGATATACGCAGATATTCCAGTAAACAACAGTATTTATAGCTTCACAGATATGGAACTGACCAATGTCACTATAATTGTGACTGTTGATAGGTATGGATGAAACCTGGCTGTCACATTATTAGCATATTAGATAACACAACTATATACAGATACTCCACACAGTGGTTTTTATTTTATTCGATATTGTGAATGTACCAAAATTATGTTAAAAAAAATACATGGTAATTAAATTTTATGTTGGAAATTCATGTTTCACACACTATTCATTATTTTGTTTAATGAGTTAAAAATGCAGGAAATGGCTTACACTGGGATGGAGTTAAGAATTAACTGTTGTGTGATTTTAATTTCAAAAAATAAATCCTTGACGACTTACCTCCCTGCATTCTGTCGGTACCTTGACTGTACTGTAAGGGAAAAAAATAAACAGATGTTAACGTATCCTTAAAATGTTGTTGTTTTGAATTTCACACAGAGTTACTTAGGGCTATCTACGTTAGCCGTCCCTAAATTACCAGTGCTGGACTAGAGGACAGGCAGCTAGTCAATTGTATTTTAATAATATAAACATATTTTAAACGAAATCTGAACAGATGCTATTATCTTGACAATAAAGCAAATACAAAGACACCAAATACTGGGTTTGTATTTTAATAATATAAACATATTTTAAAAGAAATCTGAACAGATGCTATTATCTTGACAATAAAGCAAGTACAAAAACACCAAATACTGGGTTTGTAGTACTTCACAAGGCTATCAACATAAAAAGTTTTGGTGAATAAACACTTTCATAGTTAGGAAATAATTCAATTTTTTTTTGAACCTATTGTCAAAAATGACTTCAAATTCATATACTTATTATGAAATACACAGTCACTAATTTATGAACTGAAACCCATCAACTAATAAACAAAAAGTTTCTAAAGACACCCACAAACACATACTATATATAAACGGGAGCAAAAACCAAAACCTCAACCATGCGTACCGAAGTTAAAGGATTCAATTTTCTTAAAAACTGTTCGTGCACTCCACCAGGTAGAGCCATCATAAATGTTTGTTGTTCAGTGTTAGGTAAAAGTCCTCTGTTTCCACACAAGTCTTCCTAGAGATTTCAGAAACTATAAAACAACGGCACTTCCCTCAAGTGTTTTTATTGATAAACATGAATCATGCCCTAATATTTCATCATTGTTACATAGGAACTGAACAATTTTAACTCAGTTACCTGAAAAAGCTGATATAGAACTTCACAAATACTGTTGTTTTACACGTATTTTTATAATTTGAAAAACAAATGTTCTTATCTTTAAAACATAAATCAGGAACGTCGAGAGGCAGCAGAGGCCCCCGGGGCAAACATTATTAAAAAGAAGATCCAAAATTAGGACAACAACGAGTTCATAAACCAGACAAAATCATAGCAGCAGCCGTTTTTACCTCACGGTATAAGCGTAAAAACTTTAATAAAGTAACAACAAATATCTATTAAATCTATAAAGTAACAAATACATATTAATTATTACTCAAATTATTATTTCAGTCATTCTTAATGTATCCAGCATCTATATGCAAAGAAAAGCCAAAAACTATGGTTTTTATCATTAAATGAAGATATAGCCTAAAGATGCTTTGCGGGCCTTTACAGCATAACCAGGTTTCATTCGCCTGGGCCCCTAGGCAGTTGCACTGTTGATTAATTAAGCATAAACCTTGGCTAAAGCTATCAGCCAAATGAATAAATAATTATAAATAAACAGCAAACCAGAACAAAATAATAGCAACACTTTGGTTAAAAAATAAATATGGTCCTTCAACTTTTACAAAAAGTTACACAAAAGACAGCGCAGCTGCGAAAAGTATCCATTGTTTAAAGTACCTCTTGTACACTAGGTATTCTGTACATTAACAAGAACCAATACAGACACTAAGTTAGCATTTTCCTACACTGAAAGTGTATTTCTGATAGATACTTTTCTCCACTCACTAAATAGCTTTTCTCAACTAGCATTGCCCTCTATTGGTGCAAATTTTCAATGCATGCCACTAGCCTTCTACCTCCCACTCCTGCATATAGCTGGATACCACTCCTATCATAACCAGCACTCTATTCATAACTGCCCTCATTAATCACTTCGAGATTGGTCATAAGACCTACACCATACATCATAAGAAGTGGGGAGGTTGGGTGGGAAATGTGAGAGGAGGTAAGTATCTTTTGGAAACATATTTTCAGTGTAGAAAAATGCTTCCGGTACAATATCTTACCTCCACTCACAAAACACCTGGAATCCCACAATGAACTGTTGGAGGGCCGATAAAAAAAAAGTTCACCCTCTAGGAAGCATCCAAAGAGAGAGACCAGGATGTGTGGAATGAAAAGAGAAAACATCACACCTCAGCGGGAGACTGCACCATATCTGATCCAGTTATACTTTTTGTTCTTTTATGACAGTGTTGCGAACATAAAATGCCAAAAAACATGAAGGAATCCTAGAATATGTATGACCGATGAACGGGTCGAGTTGGCTAGGGTGTGTGACAGACCATAGTGATAGTTTGACCTCAGCCAACACCAGGCAGTACTTGGAATGGGACATCAGATCCATGATAGGTAGAGGATCACCTATCT